GTTCGGGCAAGGGCTTGATGCCTTCGGTGCTGATCATATGTCCAAGGAAGTTGACACTCTGCTTCCTGAACACGCATTTGTTCGTATTGATCGCTATTCCATGCTGTTGCAGTCTACCGAACAGAATCTTTAAGTGCTCTTTGTGCTGAGTTTCGTCCTGCGAAGCGATTAGAATATTGTCAATATATTATAAGTAAAACAGAAATCGAGTCCCACGGTTACCCGATCAATGAATCGTTGAAAAGTTTGAGCTGCGTTACGAAAAAGTCATGTATGGAAATTCGAAAAGCCCGAATGGTGTGATGATAGCAGTTTTCGGAATATCTGATTCGCGAACTGGAATCTACTGATATGCGCTAGATCGATCGTAGAAAATACGGTTTTACCATGAAGGAAATGTGTGCTGTCTTGAAGAAATGGAATTGAGTAACGATCCGGAACGGTTACCTCGTTGAGCTTGCGGTAATCCCCGCACGGACGCCAGTCGCTATTCTTCTTCTTAACCAGGTGCAGAGGGCTAGCCCAAGGGCTCTTGGAAGGCCTGCATAAACCCTGTTGCATCATATATTCGAACTCTTGCTTAGCTGCTTTAAATTTCTCCGGGCAGAGTCGTCTGGCTTTGCTTGACACCGGGGGACCTGTTGTCTCGATGACGTATTCTACCCCATGTGCGGCTTGCTTATGCGTAACCGATGCTTGAGTTATCTCTGGAAACTCCTTTAGCATCTCTTTGAAAGGATAGTCATCGGCGAAGGCTGTCAGCTTTGGTACTGTTTTACAAACGAGCTGTGCGTTGACCTTGAGGAGCATGTCGCCATCGATAAGCCTCTTGTGCCGGATGTCAGGCAGCAAATTGTAACGCGTCAGAAAATCTGAGCCAATTATACACGTGTCCACTTCGGCGATAACGAAGGGCCATTGAGAGAAAACTCTGCGGAATCCTAGGTCGAGCCGTAGTAACTTCTGCCCGTATGTCGGAATGATCGTTCCGTTCGCTGCATAGAGTATCCGCTTACCTAAGTGCGCAAGGTCGCGCCTTGAGGGTATGGTCGAGACGTCAGCGCCCGTGTCCACCAGGAAATTGATGCCGGTGACGCGGTCTCGTACCATCAAACGGCGATTCACCACCGCCGAACTTCCTGCCGTCGGGGATAGTTCGGCTACTGGTTTTCCTGCTCTGTTGACGCCACCAACTTCCAGCTGCTTGCGTGCATTTGACCGCTTTGCCGCCGAAGCGTTGATGATACCAGCACGGCTTGCTCGTGGGTTGAGACTTAGAGCGGCTTCTGCGACGAGAATTACGCGAGGCCCGCGACCTGTCGCGCGATAAATGAGCTACCAATTTAGTCACCTGTTCAGTAAGCGCGGATATTTGCGAATCTCGAGTATTAATTTTGGTCGGCGCAACCATTGCGACGGCCATGGCGCTAGGGGCCAGTACATCCGTTATTCGGCCCGCTAATTGCGCTAGTTCCTCAAGCTCGTGCTTGCCGGACGCTAATATTGCCTGTACCTGTTGTGGCAAGCGCTGCAGCTACAAGGATTTCAATAAGTACCTCTTCCAATGCGCCATTTGGCGCGAGATCCCGCATCCTGCGGAGCAATTGCGACGGACGACGATCGCCTAGGTCGACCTCGTTTACGCAGTTTTTTATCGGCGCTGTCCGCGAAGCTTCTCATTAATCTGTCTTTTAGCACGGCGTATCTGTCCATCGCGGGCGGATTGAGGATGATCACTAACTTCAGTCAAGGAATCGTCGTCGAGGCATTGTATTACGTAATTATACCGCGTGTCGTCTACAGTTATACCTGCGGTGAGGAATTGAGCCTCCATTTGTACGAACCAGAGGTCTGGCTTCTTTTTCCAAAACGGTATGGACCTAATGCCGACTCGCGAAAGCGCAGGTATTTCGATAATACGCGATGGTGCGCCGCCGTCCGGATTGCGCGCAGGGGAATCGCTCGAGCCACCAGGCATGTCGGCGGTTTATTTAGCCGCGCGCGTAAGGTCAAACATAAGAGGTCGCACGCGCGCAAACAAAAACAAAAAAAAACGCCGCGCGATCACGTCGGGGTCACCAGTTTGTGGCTATTGGATCACGTGCTACGCAATATGGCGCCGGTGGTTGCCAACCACGGCGAAGGACAATTGGCGAGAAATCGTTAGGTTGAGAATGAGCGCTACGCACTGCTTCTGATTTTTATGCCATGAGGCGATTTAATACACACTTAATATCTAACTAACTAAATATTAAATACAAATGTAGATTAGAAAGTAGAGACGTGATTGCGCCTGTAAGACGGTTCGGATACCGGCATCGTGTCGCGGAGTTACAATACTAGAACTATGAAAATACACTCTAAGAATTTATCTGACGACGTTAACAATTATCACAGACATGAACAGTGATCGGTATCGGTCTCGCGGAATACACAAAGTAATTCGGAACCTCAACTTCCGAGTTCTAACTTACTGACTATCGCAGAGACTTACACAAGGTCTGCACGCGGCACGCCATGACACCAGAGAGAGTGAACGGACGAAGTAACGGAAAGAACGACCGTATCAGCGCCGCGACGGACGCATGCAGCGCCGCAGCTAACGTTCGCAGCGCCGCAACCAACGCTCGCAGCGCCGCGACTAACGCTCGCAACGCCACACGAGCAATGCTACTAACGACATCTTTCTGCAATGGGCGGAAACTTATTCCTATACCCAATATCTTAACGGACGTACATAGAAATTTACAAAGTGTATCATTGTGCACGATTAAATTGGAACAGGGCCCCTATTCTTGAAAAGTATCGCATACGAAAAACTAGGGAAATAATATAAGATGCACTACATATTATTGTATATATTTCCATAGTTTTTCATATACGATACTTTTCAAGAATAGAAGCCTAGAATATGTACGCTGTATACGATTTAGATTAAACGTAGCTTTTTTCTGCCTGTATTAAGTAAAAAAAGTGAAAGTGCTGGTCACACAATGTCCTCCAACCTTATTTATTCGCGATTAGTAACATGTAATTGTCACTAGAAAATACAAGTTTACACAGTCTTCAATTGAGTATAGGGAGCCGATTGTGTATTTTAAAATGAAATACAAATTACAAAAGTGAGCAAATTCACTAAATGTTGACCAATTGAATTATGAACTTCCTAGGAGATTTATTTACATTTTTGTAATTTTCATCTCATTTCGACATACACAGGGTGCTTTCCAATTGCAATATTCCTAGACACTTTCGTGCAAATGGAAAGCACCTACTAAATGGGTAGAGAAAATTGTTAAGGGCTTAGTAAACAGAGAAAAAATGTCATCCATTTATCTGCCTCTCACTCTACTCGTGTTTTTACCCCCATCACCGCCATCGATAATTCATTCTTTATGCCAACCTAGGTAACATTTATGTTGCATAAGGTATATAAAAGACGTCTTTTAGACATTTTTTTTAGACATAAGACGTCTTTTAGACATCTTATGCAACATAAATGTTATCTGGGTAGTTTCCACCGAGAGTTTAAACCGGATCAGAATGTAAGAACCAACCAACTACAGTCGAGCATTCCCCTGTCGTTCGACTGTAACAATAAGAATTTCAAGCTATCAGAAATTATGTATTGTTACATCCGCAGCAACTTCATTTTCCAATGATTATTTTTCGAACATATTCGCTACCGGGCCCGAATAATATACACGGGCATCTTCTAGAACGCATCTGATGCTTCTCCCCATACCAACAGCGGCGCGGTCAATGGAGGAGGACTTTAAGAACGCTCCCAGGTAAACTCAGAAGAAAAGATAGAGCGGTGCGCGTCGTATAGAGTGGACGCGCGCGAAATTCAGGCTCCTACGTTGGTGTAGATTGCTTCAGTTGTTGCAATTCATCGTCCAAGGCTTGAGCTTCTGCAATCTCTTGCATGTCGAGAGTCTAGTTGGTATCTCGATAGTATCGACGCGAGATAATGAATCTGCTACAATATTTTTAAACGCCTAAACGTGACGTATATCGGTTATGAACTCCAAAATGAAGAGTAATTGACGGGTTTGTCTTAGCGACAATTGATCCGATTTCCTCTTAAATGCGTATATGAGGGGTTTATGATCCGTGATAACGTGAAAGTTTAGTCGCTCTAGCATATATCGCATAGATTGTTAATAATTCCCTATCATATGCGCTATACTTTGTTTGTGTAGGTATGAGCTTCTTTGAAAAGAAACTGAGTGATAAAAATCCGTTGCTGTGCTGTTGCAATATTGTGCCGCATCGATTGCTTTATCTGAGGTGTCTATTTGCAACGAGAATGTCGCATTGCAGGAAATGCGAGCAAGGTGATTTGAGTGAGATGTTCCTTAACTTGTTGAAAGAATTGTTTGAGCTCAGGAGTCCATTCTATTTTCGCATTGTTGTTGCGAAAACAATTACAGTTTACACCCCGAGATTGCATTTAGCAATGGCGCTTACATGCTTGCAAGGTCTTTGAGAAATCGATTATAGAAATTGAGTATTTCTAAGAAACGTCAAAGTCCTTTGATTGTAGTTCCTAAAATTCAGCGATAGCTTGGACTTTTTCGGGTAAAGGTTTGGTGCCTTCAGCGCTGATTGTATGTCATAGGAAGCTGACACTTTTCTGTCCGAACACACATTTATTCGGATTGATTGCTATTGAAATCTATCGAACAGTATTTTTAGATGCTCCTTATGCTGTGTTTCATCCTGCAAAGCGATTAAAATGTTATCAATATGAGTAAAACAGAAGTCAAGTCCTGTAGTTACTCGGTCCATAAATTTTTAAAAAGTGTAAAACTCCGTTACGAAGTTCGAATGTCATATAAGGAAATTCGAAAAGTCTGAACGGTATAATGATTGCGGTTTTAGGAATATCCGATTCGCGGATTGCAATCTGTTGATATGCACGGATTAGATCTATCGTAGAAAACACAGTTTTGCAGGAAATGTGTGCTGTCTTGCAAGAACGGAATTGAGTAACGATCTGACACGGTTACCTCATTGAGTTTGCGGTAATCTCCATACGGACGTCAATCGCTATTCTTTTTCTGCACGAGATGTAGGGAACTAGCCCAAGCGCTTTGGAAGGTCTATATAAGCCTTCTTGCATCATGTACTCCAACTCTTGTTTAGCTGCTTTGAATTTTTCTGGACAGAGTCGTCTGGCTTTGTTTGATACGAGAGAACACGTTGTTTCGATTACATGTTCCACCCCGTGTGCGATTTGTTTGTGCGTGATCGACGTCCTAGTTATTTCAGGAAACTTGCTTAGGATCTCTTTGTATGGGCAATCGTCGGCCAACGTTGTTAATCGAGAAATAGCTTTGTTGACAACCTGAACAAAGACATTAAGAAACCATCTTACCATCGATCGCTTGTGCCGTATGTCAGGCAGCAAATTGAAATAGTGTTAGAAATAGTGAGCCAATAATGAAGGTATCCACGTTGGCGATTATGAAAAGCTACTAAAAAATACGGAATCAAGCTAGAATAATTTTTGTCCATACGTAGGAATGATCATTCCGTTTGCAGCGGTAGAATATCTTTATTTTCTAAATCTTTTTTGTATGCATTTTCTAATGTTTTATTTCAAGATCTGTTATGTACTGATCACGTACCCTCTGACGTTTTATTTCAGAAGCTTTTTTATACTAATCACATTTCCTCTGACGATTTGTTTCAAGATCTTTTTTGTACTGATCACGCATCCTCTGACACTTTATTTCAGAATTTATAACATATTTTTCTCTGTGAGATCATCTTTTTCCATTCATTTTGAACGCTGTTCTCCAGTGTGTAAGTCTTTTTTTCAGTTCGCCTCTTGTTTTTTCAATGTCTCCAACAGCAATAGCATTAATAGAGCAGTTGTAAAGGTACGGAAAATGAATTATTTGTCTTGCAAACATTGCGGACAAATAGGGTCAAAGATCGATCATATGTCACGATGCAAGAATTTATGCCAAACAGAATCGATGTAGCAATCGCAATCGCCATAGGACCACAATTATAACCGTCGCCTTGTGACTGAACTTCAGGAAATACTATTGGATTGTTCTGAAAGTCATGAAAGGAAAATAATCTATCCACAAAAAGTCAAAGTTCAAATTTTGTATATTAGCATTATGGCTACCTTCATCATATATATAATAACAGTTTTTGTGTCATAATGACAAGCAACCCAATGTCCGTCATCGAAATCACTGTGTAGTATTTGTTTTTTCTTCAATTATTGAGTGGAACAATCCGATCGGGAAATATTATTAATCATACAGGCCGAGTTGCATAATCAGAATTTCTTTCAAGTAGCGCATAGAAACTATTTGTCATCGTTTCCATTAAACATTCTTCGGAAACCAAAACGTTTTTTTCCGCATTACCATAACAGAACTTGTGACACTGACGATCCATTTTCAGTTAGCGTTTGGGGCAGTCTTTTAGTGATGCAAGTATTAAACCAGGTTTTTCCAATTAGACGCCTACGGCAAGCCAAAGTTCTGCGCTATTGCGGCCAAAAACGCTATAATAGCGAATAATTTTAGTTTAAGTGCGTAATAGGCCCAAAACAAAATTAATTTGTCTAATTGTAGGCGCTACTGGCAGTCGATGCTTTCATTCAGTGCTTATATGACAGCTTTTATACAACGTTTGAGCAGCCGATAAATTTTTTTTTTAATTTTCCGGATTTGTAAAATAAGAAAGTTATATAAATACGTTATAAAACAAATAGATTAATAATTTTAAACTATTTTGTACAAATTTCTTTGCAATAATAGCAAGCATATTACAATTATTTTAGTAAACATATGCAGAGATGCAGCGTTGTTAATCTAACATTTTTTTACAAAAACAAATCTTATTAAAGTGGTATACATAAACCTCACAAATGACTTACGAAACATCACGAAACATGAAGTCTTGCAAGCTTTGTTGAACATATTAAAACTTAAAAAGTAGAATTGTTAAAATTAATTATAAATCTCACATTTTATACAACACGTGTACGACGATGTGTCACTCAGATATGAATTATTCTCGAAGTAAAAAGTCAGTAAACATTAAGGCAAATTTGCAAATATGACGAACAAAACACATGTATATAGTTGTTAAGTCAAATCAATCGCAATAAATTATTATAAGAATTAAAATCTGTCAAAATTATTAAAATTGTACAATAAAGAATTACATAATAAAAAGTAAAAACGAAAAAATTCAATATGAACCATATCTCGGTAAAATTGTTACATTTTCATCTACTAATAAAACTTTGTCAAAATAAATCAATAAACTATGAATATAAATCTAAAAAGGTTTCTAACATCAATTAGGAGAAATTTTCAATCATCGCTGCATAGGCATGGAAAAAGAATTTTTTATAGCACTAGAATTAGTACTTAACTCGACATATTTCACTTTCAATGGGGAGATATACAAACAGAACTTTGACACATCAATGGGATCGTCTTTATCCTCCTATTATAGCAGATTTGGTCATACAAGACTTAAAGACTAAAGCAATAGCAATGTTAGGCTTTCGATTGCCCTTTTTACTTCAGATATGTGGATGATATCGTGACAACAATCCCGTCTGATATGATTGATCTTATTATGACAACTTTTAATTCGTTTCATCCGAGATTGCAATTCACCTTGGAAATAGGACGCAATAGTATTAATTTCTTAGATGTAACTATTATTAATAACAATAATTGTTTAGAGTGATTTGGTACTATAAACCAACATTCTCAGGTCGGTATCTGAACTATTTATCTTCACATCCTATTTCTCATAAAAAAGATGTCATAATGGATATGTTGGACAGAGCTATGTTACTCTCAAATCCAAAATTTCATTATAACAATATTAAGTTTATTATTTGTACATTATTAAATAATGACTATCCGGCAAAATTTATTTTTGACAATAGTCGTCTAAAATATTGGTCTAATAAAAAAGTTTTTATTAATGATATCCCAAATGACAGTTAGTGATCGCGTATTTTGATTTTTGTTACCATATTGATTCTACGTTAGAGAAATTTTCGTCGACTTGTAAAGACACCAATATAAAATTTTTTCAGTGTTTTTCAGTGATAACAAATTAAATAGATTTATAAAAGTACAGAATTCATAAAAGTATAAAAGGACGATCTTCCAAAATTTGATAATAAAAAATGTGGTCTATAAGATTTGTTGTAAAGATTGCGATGCATCGTATCTGGGACAAACAAGTAGGAAACTTTCCAGTAGAATATCTGAACATCGTAGACATATAAATTGGAACACTGACACTCACTCTGTAATTACTGAACATCGTATTGAATTTACACATGACTTCGATTGAGAGAACATTCAAATTTTAGACAAGGAAAAATTTTTGAACAAAAAATTTTTAAACATCTAATTTCGGAAATGGCATTCATACACATGCAAAGGAATGGCTTTAATTTACGTTCAGATACAGAAGGTGCATCATATCTATGCTGTAACGATGCTTGAAAATTTCTCCTGATTGATGTTAGAAACCTTTTTAGATTTATAGTTTATTGATTTATTTAAGTTTTATTGGTTGACAAGAATGTAACAATTTTAATGAGATATGGTTCATATCGAATTTTTTAGTTTTTATTATGTAACTTTTTATTGTACAATTTAAATAATTTTGACAGGTTTTAATTCTTATAATAATTTATTGCGATTTTTATCGGTTTGACTTAACAACTATATACATGTATTTTGTTTGTCATATTTGCAAATTTGCCTTAATGTTTACTGTGTGACCTTTTACTTCAAGAATAATGCATATCTGAGTGACACGTTGTCGTATACGGATGTATGTTGTATAAAATGTGAGATTTATAGTTGATTTTAACAATTCTATTTTTTAAGTTTTAATATGTTCAACAAAGCTTCAGTGCAAGGCTTCATGTTTCGTGATGGTAAGTCATTTGTGAGGTTTACGCATATACCACTTTAATAAGATTCGTTTTTGTAAAAAAAATGTTAGATTAACAATACTGCATCTTTGTCAATTTGCGAGTGGCTTAGGCATTATGGATATGTGAGCTAACTATACTTGTATCATTCTTGCTGAAGAGGACTCCAACGTGAATCGAAACGTTTAAAATAAAGAAGACATCAATCCAATATCTGAGTATTGATTGTTCACTAAATAATTACGTCGTTTATCATTGCTGACTCTCATTAGTCTATTATATTTATCTTTTTGTATTGTTTAAAATTCCTAATATAATTATTATTTTTGCATATGCAGAGATTTAAAATTATTGCAATAATTAAAAAATATTGTAGAAAGTACGCTTATGAAGAATTGAAATTATATGCTTCTTTTGTATATTAGTCTTTAGATCAAGTAATCACATCAACACATCAAAATAGAATTTATTGATTACAAAATAAATCATCAATTCAGTATGTCTCTTAAAAATTGTTGCTGTTATCCATTTTACAAATAAATCTTATTTATTTATAGACTAACGTCAAATATTACAAGGAATCAATTTATGTAAAAAAATCATAATCGAAGATTTGAAGATCGATCTAATTTTTTTAAAACAGAACCTAGATAGCACACCTAGGTATGTTTTATATATTCTTAAACATATCCGATATTTTATAACCGTTAAGCATCAATAAGAAACGTTTCATTGGAAACGTTTTTAAAATTATAATTTAAAAAATGTATATTTTACGTATATTTTAATTCACACTGTGTAATATTTTATTATGAAACATTATATATACAGAAATAAAATAAATATATTTTATAAGATAGGAAACAAGACCGTTTATGTTAAATAACATTACTTTAAATCCGAAGCGCCATAAATATATTTTATAAATAAATAGTATATTAATTTATATAAATATATAGTATATATTTTTTTCGAAGAAGAGAAGAATAATGTTTTCTTTATTTCATTTTCTAAAAGTTCGCTTTTATACGGAATTAATAATAAAATAATGTACTTATGTATTCATATACATTTTTAAAATAAAATTGAATAAATTATTGTAGAAAATCATTATTTTAATGATTTATTCAACTTTATTTTAAAAAATACGTATGTATACATACCTGTATATGTGAATATATTTCCAATCAACAGACAATGATACATTATATTTTTCGTTTAAAATAAATGATTGAAATAACATTGTTTAATTTATTTAATGTCTATTTAACATTAATTATTCATTTGAAATAATAGTTTAAAAAACATTTTTTAAATGTTTAATATATGAAAGGCATACACCACTACGCAAGATCTAAATTATACTGAAGATGGTCTAATCACAAGACCGAAACATTTATATATAGATATTTTTTTTTTATTTGAATAAATTGCTAATTCGCTTCCAAGATCTTGCGTAGTGGTATATGCCCTTCATATATATTATTAATTTTGAATTTTAGCCATATAAAACTGTTTATTGTTTATAAAATGTTTATTTTACATTATTTATTCATTTAAAATGTGATGATAAAAAACATTTATTTCACGTTTATTTAATGTTTAGCAAATGTTTTACGTTTATTCAATGTTTATCAAACAAACGATTATAGTTGACAAAAATGTGCTCCTCCGAACCGTGTGTGTGTATAAGGACGAACATGTTTCTGTTAGCAAGTATAAATTATAATAATAAATTAACGATATAAGTAAATAAAAATAATAAGAAAAGTACAAATTGTTGATTTCCTCTCAATTTGGAGCGAGTTTTATAGTTAATTTTGCGTCCGAATGCGAATTTTACTTAATTTCTTATGTTTTTATCTACGTTACAACTCTATTGTTAATTACCATTGTTAATTTATTTGTCACATTAATTTATTTGTCACATTGAAAATGATCTAACAAGGATCGAAACGTTTGTTTTGTTCACCTTCTGATTGTCAAATTATATTTTACGTTTTTAATTTTATGACATAGTTTTATTTCATTTTTTAACTATTTATACAGTTTGTTAATTTATGTTTTAGACTCGTAGCCCTTTTTCCTTTTTACTTATTTTGATTTATTGAGCCTTATTATTTTTATAATTTATTTAATATTTATTAAATCTTTTTTAAACATTTATATGACATTTAATAAATGTTTGTCTTTTAAATGTTTGTTATTTATTTATTTAAAATATGATTAAAAAACATTTATTTAATATTTATCTGCCGTTTATTATAAATATGGAAAAAATATTATTTTCTAAATCTCGAATTAATAAAAAACGGATCGAAATAATAAAATAATCATGAAAGAGAAGTTAACACAATATAATTGCATTAAGTGTATCATATATGAAGAATAAGAACTGTGTGCATCGATAGTTATATGTAAATGGCGTGACGGATAAGATATGAGACTCATAACCCTGAGGTCCCAGATTCAAAATCCAGCTACGGTAAGTGAAAAAAATTAAAATAAAATTAGAATAAATAAATAAAATTATAGTTGTTTAATGTTTAGGCACTGTCGATAAAAAACATAAATTAAAAAAGTTTCTACATTGTTATTTTTTTCTAATTTTGAAAATAATTATGACATTAAAAAATATTTTTTTAACGTTAAAGAAATGTTTCTTCAAACATTCAACACGTTAAAAAGATGTTTCTTCACGTTTTTCGAATGGATATTTTAACCAATCAGAAATGTTTTCAAGTGGCTATGAAACGTTTCAAAGAAGAGACATTTGTGAAACGTTTTTTAAACGAATATGTGTTACCTGGGAAACACCTTTATTTTTTCAAAAAGCTATAAAGACAGGACCTCGCTAAATCATCTTTTGATAATCTTGCTTCAATATTTTTATGCACAAAATGACAATCTTCACTTGAAATCAAACTAAATTGCCTATCTTTGTTCTCCCTTCCAACCGAACAATTTTTGTCCGGAATACTTTTCTATAAAATGCTTTATATTTTCGAGATATTTATTAAGTACAAATTTTATTTATCAAATAAATATTTCTTTAGCAAAATTTATAAATAGAGGATTTATTTATAAAATAAATAGCAAGAATTTTTAAAAGACTGCATTGCTAAAAGCAAACTTCCTACAATATTTAAATTAGCTTTTTACATAGGCAATTAAATTTTCTTTATATTAAAAAATTTTAATTGAAAGTGTGCTACGAAACAAACATATATAAAATAAATTGTTCATTTAGAAGCCAGTTTGTTTATTTACATTTCGTTCTACTTTTAGCCCTTGCTTCTAAATAACTGAACCATATCCTATATGTAACCCTTGTTGTTTCTTAACGGAAGCTAATTTCATAAAGCATGCATTACACGAGATGAGGCACTGATGTGATTCATTTATAATAAATCACTAACTTCATACGTTCATTAAGTGACGTGTATTCGACGTTAATCTTAATATGTGATCAAAAATTTTTCAGACGATATTTACGTATACATATATATATATATATATATA